TTTGAAAAAAAAAAAAAAAAAAAGGGATATTTCCCAATTAGAATACATGGTGCCCCTCAACACTTCCATGGTTTAATCTATTGTTCAATACAACATAATGGGAATTATGGTTTCCATTAATTGAAATGGATTCCTCTAATGAAGACTTGTTAGGAATTTTTTTATCATATTTAAGGAATAACTGTGCCATTTTTGCCATGTGTAATCTGTATGTTCAATCAAATAATCGTCCATATGGATTTACATTTATCCACATATGAGTGAACAACAGCCTTTTTGTTACATGCGTGTTAGCCAGCCCTTGGCCATGAGTTTTGGGTCACATGACTCACCGCCCATCCATTTGCTTTCTCTCTAGTGTGGTATGTGTTGGGGGAGATGGCTCTGTAGCTGAGGTGGCCCACGGGTTGCTTCTCCGGGCCCAGATGGACGCAGATTCCATCTTCACGCCTGTCCAAGCAGCACTTCCTCTCGGCATAATACCAGCAGGTGAGGATCAGGGGTGGAAGAGGATCTCTTTCTCCTGCAGCTGTCCCCAGTACAGCCCAAAATGTCCAGCTCCTCTCAGGAGAGTGATTTCGGTCCTCGCCGAGTCAACATGAATTCAAAATTGACCCAATTTGCTTTTATTACACACGTCTCTGGTCTTGCTGTGCACAATTCATCATACACATTACATACACACGTTATTCTCAAAGTAAACAAATGTTTGTCTTTGTGAACTTATATCAACACATCTCCAGCTTTTTCCCAGATGATGTCACAAAACCAAATCTTTAACCCCTCCCCCTCAAACCACCTGGCTTTAGTACGTAACACCCACTTTCCAAAATACAAATTCCCAATGGTTATTCTTGTTAAATAACATGTTTCAGAAGCACATTAGAGTATGAAAGCAAATACTTCCATAATCTGTATTTTTTTTATGAATTAAAATAAGTTGAATAATAAAAATATCAAAATAATAATCAATATAAATTCTATATAGTTTGTGGTATTATTGTATCTATATTTTCATTAATTATATGTTAATTGTGTTATAATACTGTATTATTAATTTTAAACCAATTTTATTTGAATAATCTGTTAAATATTTTTAGTAAAAAAGTATTTTTAATAAAAAGGTAACTTTCGCCAAATAAATGCATCACTAAATTAAAAAATATATATATTTTAATGTACAACATAATACTACTACTAATAGTTTATATTATTCTATATTATTAGATTAAAACAAATTTTACTTGTATAATCTGTAATGTTTTTATAATTGTATTTTTTTATGTTTATTATTTAACTTTAAATAAATTATTAATACAAACGCTAGCATAACATGTCCTCAAAGCCGCAGAACAATTTTGAGGTACTTAAGTACCTTCATGGGGTATTTAAATGAGGAAACTGAAATAAAACCTATAATTGATAATCACAGCATGTCAAAATATGACTAGTAGTAAAATATGATAATGTATAGCAACAGCCTTGTGGGTAAAGCCTGTGACTTTTTATGCTTCATTCCGGCACTAAAACAGAGGCGTGCTGCCAACTAAAAATCAAATTCTGTAGTAATTTCGGTCTCTAGTTTCTGTGCTGTCAGAATGATTTAGTTTGATCGTGTTCTGAAACTCCTCTAGTGAAAACAAACAGGCAGCTCATAACGGTAGCAAGTGAGTGTATCATTATCAAATTGATTTAATCACAGTCAGGCCTCTGAATGGCCCACTCACACACACTGAGTTAATTGCCTTCAAGAGTGTCTGAAATGGAGCATCCGCCATTTGACTCTCCTTTGCTGCCTTTGAAACGGTTCCACTGGCCTTGGATCAGCGGCACAAAGCCCTGCGCATTGTCCACACTCACACAGGACTGACTAACCTCAAATTCTCTATTTTTTTGCGGGAATGTGGCACAAACCAACCCCAAAAAGCTGGCAAACTGGGATGGGAAGAGGAGGGGAGAGCAGGGTAGATGGGTACGGTAGCGGCCCCTACTTTTTCGGCCAAGAGATTGACCTTCACTTGTCATTTCAGGCACAGCAAAATGGAGTGCTGTTGTTAGGAGCAGTGGAAGCCCTCCAACTCCGCACTCACTGCAAACTGACCGTACCAGGGTCACGCTTTCTCTTCATTAGTGCTGAATCCCACGGGAGTATTTGTAAACAGTTTCCCGTCA